ATCAGTAATTGGAGGCTTGCTGTGATCAGATGATTTGAATTGGCAAATCATCAATTTTAGACTCACTCTGACCTGATTGGTTGAGTTGCTCTGACCAGACCATTTGAATATGTGAGTCGTTAACTGGAGACTCACTCTGGCCGTTTTCAATTCCAAGAATGCTGAGAACAGACCTGCGTTCTTGTGAAGAGCGGTCTCTTGTGAAGGCCAGGTCACCTCGGAAAACCAAACCCCGGCATGCGAGAAGACAGAACGAGTTTGGTGCTTAAGTCTGCATTGATGCAGTAGATGATGACGTTACACGAGAACATGAGGACGCAAAAACGCATATTGAGAAACAGCCACTGATTTGATCATTTGAATTAGTGAATCTTTAATGGGAGATTCACTCTGAATATTTGAATCAGTGAGCTTTTGAAATGAAAACAGATACAGCTAGATCAGTCCAATTCACAAATGAATAGTTCAGTGCAATATCCGAACTGAATTTATCGAGGCCAGCCCAAAGCTTAACCACAACTTCACTATACAGCAGGGCACCTTGACAATAACTCCTTCTAGGAATGTCAGGAACCTAGGAATGGTTATTGATGACTAGTCAGTTCTTTCAGATTTGCTTTATTTGACACCCGGTAGATTAGACCTTTCTTAACCAAACATGCTCCTCAAATGCATGTCCAAGCTCTTCTCCTCTCCAAGACGGATTCTTGCAATACTTTCTTGGCTGCTTCCCATCCAACACCATCAAGCTTCTACAACTGATTTAGAATAAAGAGAAACAAGTCTCTAATGCTGCTTTAACAATAGACACGGATGAAGCGTCAAGTGGGAGTGTTTACATGTTATGCCAATGCAAAGACCCAAATAGACATCCTGCAGTGTAATTCGCACAAATCGCTCTGATTAACCAATCAGGAGCTTGCTCTTATAGGGGTGTGATTATGACATGGCGCAAGTGGATGAACTTGAAGTTCATGGACTCAGACTCGGCCCCGAACTAATATATGCTGATTTTCAGCCTTCCTAAAGCACATAAGCACAGCTGTTCCCTCAATAAAATCCACGTTTAGCCATTAAGCAATGAAGCTAGAGTCAACGGGCAGACAGAAGCCCTTCCCATGATGCAAATCCACGTCTATTGTGAATTGAATTTAATGCGTAAATGAAGTGAGTAAACTTACTTTGCTAGTTACATGCAGTACAATTTAGTTGCGTGTTCCGCATCTGGTATGAACACAGCATACTGAACCAAAAGGAGTACATGTTATACCTTTATTTTGTCAATCTACACCAGATGTCCTAAACCCTGTTCCTGGAGATCTACATTCCCGCAGAGTTTAGCTCCAACCCTGACAAACACAACTTGACCAATGAGGTAGGCACAGCTAGTGTTTTCAGCCAACAATAAACTACTGGTGAAAGGTTTATGTGACTATTATCCATACGTTTCTTTTACAGTAACGATATTACAATGTTATTAAAATAGACCAGTTCAATAGGCTTAAGCATTCATTTAATTATTGAAGCATAAAACAAGATGAAAGAATGTGTAAATGAAAGCGGCATCAGTGGCAGGCTATCGCAGAAACTCCATTAAATATACTGGGGTAAAATAATTTTCCATATTTTAAAGACATGGTGCGGAAATTTTTAATTTAATGCTGTGCCTCTTGTCCATTCTGAGACCCATTTTATTTTGTATGTTAATCAGGCAATGAAGATCACTAAATTTTAAAGAAATCAGTTCTTAAACGTGGCAATTTTGTAATGGTGCGACAGGTCACCAGAAGCCCTTGGGCTGGCAGACTGAAAATTAAAAGTCTGTGTGCATATACTCCATTAATTAGGACCTGAAACAGCACTTGGTAATTACAGACAAGTATGTTCGATCAGGGTTGCGACTGAAATCTGCAGGAAGGTAGATCTAGTAATCGGTGCTCGTATCAATTTCGAGGCACTGTTATCCCTACAAATCAACCGCTGACTCTGCACTCATTTACTTCAGCCTGATGAGCTCGGTAGGAACCTATGCTCTGCTAATAAAAGTTGCCTTGTGATACCATGGGCCACAGAATCAATCACAAAGACATTTACTTTTAATGTTTCATACTGGTGAAGAGACATGTCAAACAACTGAGTGTCTGGCCATTTTTAAGAAACTTCTGAAAACACATCTGTAATATCAATATGTATGTCCAGGTTTATTAAATGGCAGAATTACACAAAAGTGCAATACAGCACCACAGAATAGACATATTCAAAAAATAGACAAGCTTAATATTGGTGGGCACAAGACAAAAACTAAAGCCTATTACATTCAAAATTTAAAGACTTAAGAAAGCCATTTTCAACTGTATCTGTGACATTTTAAAAACTGTTTGTGTTATTGACAGTTCAGCTGCAAGAAGAATATATCACATGCTGTCTGAGGGAATGATGATTGAGCTGGTAATATGTGACTCAGTTGTTTGTTCCCAGTGATCTTTTGAATCATAAAGCATATTAAAAAAACATATTTAGCAAACAATGTTTGAATGGTGTGTTCCTCTGACATTTAAAATAAATATGTGTGGGATCTTCTACCTCAAAGCACATGCTCTCTGTTCTTTGCGGTGCTTCCACCTGGCAACAACAGCTGTAGCCATTTCAAGTGCAACATTTAAGACATGTTTTTTTGTGTGTTAAATAATAGCGCAAATATCTGTAATTTGAGTAGTGAAAACTTTATCAAATCACATTTTGTGATTAATTAAAATACTTAGTTACTTCACATAAAATTAGCATATGACCAGGAAACTCCTACAAATCATATTCAATAAAGTCAGGTGCAAAAATAGCTGCGTTTACACTCTTTTAGCACTTTTCATCGCTGCACATGTTTTGTAAATACCAACAGTACTAATTTACAGTTTTTCCTATTTGCTTTGACCGGGTAAAGAAACTAGAATCCACTCCATTTTCATTATCATTATCCCAGCCGAGCAGAAAACATGTCTGGCAAATGTGTAAACCCTTTCTCATTGGATTGACACATTTTCCCCAACATTTTCCTGTTAACACGGATGTTATTTAAGCAGTCCAAACTCCATAGTTTTAGCTATGGTAACCAAATATAAACCATTTATTCCTGACTATTAGAAACTATCAACTTTGTATGAAGTCATTAAAGCACTGGGTTGACACTCCTTCACACAAATCTTTAATTAGAATTAAAAAAAAAAAGGTGGCCGGTCAGTGTTGTTCTTTGCCAGCATGAATGGAGGAGGTCAGTAGTGGCTATGTCTTCTACTCTGATAGATTTGTCTGTATTTTGGTTTATATGAGTCTTCTCAAATATTTACAGTATTTTAATATTTTTGTCTAGTCTGTTTTTTAACAGTATTTCAGTTTTCAGCCACAGTTTGAAAAATATATTTTCCAATATATTTTGTTGTCCATTGTGTTGTGATTAATTAAAAGCTCATATACTGGTTTGAACGTTTTGTTGTTTGATGGCAAAATTGACTTTTTTGCATATTTTAAATGTTTTAGCACATTTAGTTTTTCAAGCAAAATGTGTCATTTTGACAATGAGTGACGCTGTTTAGACTTGTGTGTTAACTGTTTTGAAATTGTGGAGTTTCAGTTGACGACTGCATCAAAGCAATTAAGAAAAGCTGTACAAAGAACTTGTTCTGACTAGTAAATTTGGCCAGTAATCATTTAATTGTGGGAAATTGCCTCATTGTTAATTTATGGGATAACATTGTGCAATTCTGAGTGTGCTTCTCACAGGTGAGTGGGTTTTACAAACCACCTGTAATCACACTCTTTCCTCTCTCTCTCTCTCTGTGTGTGTGTGTGTGTGTGTGTGTGTGTGTGTGTGTGTGTGTGTGTGTGTGTGTGAACTTCTTCTGGAGAAAGTCTTATTTGTTTTATTTAGGCTAAAATAAAAGCAGTTTTTAATGTTTTAAAAAACATTTAAAGGTCAATATTATTAACCTCTTTAAGCTATATATTTTTTCGATAGTCTACTGAACAAACCATCATAATTCAATAACTTGCCTAAATACCCTAACCTGCCTAGTTAACCTAATTAACCTAGTTAAGCTCTTAAATGTCACTTCAAGCTCAATAGAAGTGTCTTGAAAAATATCTAGTCAAATATTATGTCCTACCATCATGGCAAAGATAATATAAATCAGTTATTAGAGATGAGTTATTAAAACTATTATGTTTGAAAATGTGTTGTAAAAAATCCTTTCTCCGTTAAACAGAAATTGGGAAAAAAATAAACAGGGGGGCTAATAATGTGTGTGTTTGTGTTTTGTGCATTTGTATGCAAAATAAATATTGAACTAACTTAGCATCTATATATTGCTTTCTGGTGATTTGAAGTGATTATTTTATCCTCATTTGTTAGTTCCCTTTGGATTAAAGTGTCTGACGAATGAGTAAATGTAAATGTAGTTAAAGGTGAACATTGAAATAAACTGAATACTGACATTGCTATTCTAGAGCGGCACGGTGGCTTACTTGCCAGCACTGTCGCCTCACAGCAAGAAGGCCAATTGTTCACGTCCCAATTGGGTCAGTTGGCATTTCTGTGTTAAGTTTACAAGTTCTCCCCATGCTGCGGGGGTTTCCTTTGGGTGCTCTGGTTTCCCCTACAGTCCAAAGACATGTGCTATAGGTGAATTACATTAAACTAAATTGGCCTAAATTAAACTACACTATGAGTGTGAATAAGTGTGTTTATACCGCTTTGACGACCTATAGAGACTAAATAAAAGGAAAATGAATGAATGAATAAATGGACTCAAACATGTTTAATTGAAAATAATTGTGTACAAATTACAAATTGGTTACAAACTTCTGCCATCATGTTTTATAGCAGACAAAAATGTTTTCAACAAAGAACAACCTTTTTATAAAATGTGGTGGAAGAATATAAAAGAATAAAATACAGACACTTAGTGATGTTTTATAAACAAATTTTAAGAAGAGCATGTGAAGATTTTATAACAATTCTAACGCATCATTAACAATCATTCCATTATCCAATCAGCATTAGACCAAACCCTACATAAATGCCAAACTTGACCTACCTGCATTATCTCACGACTTTAGCATCCCTCCACCATCCCGACATCTCACCTCTTAAATCTATCTACCTGGAGGGCGCGTTCTGGGGCTGGGCTTGACACTTCACTCAAACCCCAACGTCTCTCCCTTTCCTGACAAGGGGAATAATACAAGTTGGGGTATCTTTTCCAAGCTCAAACATCTGTAAGTGTGAACTCCTGAAACAAAAATAAAGTTCAGTGCCAGAGTGAATATGGTTTCTGTCCACTACTGTAGTTAACTGTAGACAGTTTTGTCTAGATTTAGTTACAAAATCTGCCCCACAACGAAAGTAAAACTCTTAAATAGAAGTTTAGATTTTATAAATGAACATCGCATGCTGGGAAATGTAATAAAGTATTGTGTAAAATGTTCTCAAATCTACAATGACATCCTGTGAACATTTGCCCAAACACAACAAGGTTCGATTCCTTGGCAAAGAAACTTGTCACACAGGTTTTACTTCAGCTTGATTGCCTCACTTGCTATTTCGTTTTCTGTGGGAATTCTTCTGAATTCCCAGCACAGCAAAGTGCATCAGTCATTAATAATGATTCTGTAGCAAGGCTGAGGTTGTCAATAGATGAGCTTATTACAGCAAGCGTTGTGGTCTTCGGTCAGAGTTAGAGTTGTGTTACCATGTTCCCTGCGTATTGATACAGCTGTTTGAGTCAACACGTGTCAGACAGGGCCAGTGTTTTTGGGGTCAGCGGATGGCGAAGGAGAATTTTACATAACTGTCACGAGATTGAGGATATTGTGCAGTTCATGCTACAAGAACTCAATTAGGAAGGTGATGTGTTGGAAAGACAGGATTGATCAACTCATTCAACTGATACGCTGGTGTGGCTTGGGTTGTATGTACGTGAATGGAGATCTGTACTGTGAGTTGGGAGATTTAGAGGAACGGAAACAGGTAAGAACCTCTTCTGTTAACAGCCAGTGTGTCTCAGGAGATATAGCTAGCTATAACCAGATTCAGATTAATGTATTTTATGAATATGTTTTATATTTTATGTTGTCTTATTTGTGGAGTAGGCAGATTAGTAACATATTTGATGAATACTTATAAGTAGTTCCTGAAACATGAAATGAGATTTTAGTCAATGATAGTGGGCTGTTACTAAAGAAATAAGTTGGAATCATGCATAGAGTTGACATTTCTCGTACAGAAATATCCTGAAGGTGGTATTGTTTGTGTGTGTGTGTGAACAAATTGATAGCAATGTTTGACAAGTAGTTTCCTGCTCCTTTTAAATCTCTTTTAGCTGTATGATTGTATCTCTCAGGTGCTTTCCACAGCCTGTGTTCCTTATCCACATCTGGGTCATTCTGTTTTTGACATAGTAAACAAAAGAAAGAAAGAAAGAAAGAAAGAAAGAAAGAAAGAAAGAAAGAAAGAAAGAAAGAAAGAAAGAAAGAGAAAGAAAACATGTAGAAATCAAAAGTGAAATCCATTCCAACGAATCTCGAAGTTCTCTGAATTTACAGATAGAGACTGTTTACGTGACGTTGCATTTTCTGTCACATATGACAAAAATGAAAATAATTGATATTGTCATCATTTGAAATGCAGTTATGATAAACAATAGTTTGACTTGCATAGACATCTTGTTATAAAAATGCTGTGTTGTTACATTTTGCAATTGTCCTGCTGGATGACTGTCTTGTTGAAAAAATGACAGCTCTTTTTAATTAAAAAGAAGTCGTAAAAATCATTGATAAATACCTCGGGTCTATTTTTACAATTGGCTATTTAAGCAAATGGCAATCATTTTATTCATCCATATATTTCTAAAAACACAGGAACTTGATACATTTGTCACTGAAAACTATATCATTTGCTGTGCCTTCATATGCTCATTATAAACTGGACAATTCCACAAAAATACTTAATTTAGTTGAAGGACACCAATCAAGATCGTGTGACTGAAGCCCATGACGTACACCTGAATTTTTGCTTTACATATTGAACTTTTTTGTAATCATTACAAAATTGTTAAGATTTGTTGTCCTTTCCTTTTGCAACCCTATTATTGGAAAATGTCCTACAAATCTGAAAGGACGTAGAGAAAAATATTATTCATGATTTCAGAGAAAATATTATAGCACTATATCTAGATAAGTGTCCAACAATGAAGAACAATCACTCTCACACCATTTGTATATTATTGAGAGTTCTTATTTTTATATCATGCCATGGGACTTATTTACACTACAGTTCACTAAAAAGTGAATTTAAAAAAGTAAAAAAAATTGATAAAGTTAGTACATTCTCAAACATCAGACTACGTTAATGATAGCAATTTAATTAAAAAAAATAGTGTTTTACAAAAAAACTTTGTCAACTACCCATATAATGTAGAAAATATATTGTGTAAGCACCACAAATCAATCAAACATCATTGATTCCATTCTCGTTAACACTGGGTTGTTGTGAATCCGCTGAAAATTTTGAGTAAGCAAAGGAGGACAAAAAAAAGATAGCTTTGTTTACAGACGCATTACATTTGTCCCCGTTTGAAATGTAGCTCAAAGTACATTTCTCAGGTTGACACAGGCTTCAGAGTGGGTTCAGGGTGTTGTTTGCTAACATTTATGTGAGAACTCTGATGGCCTTGATTCCTGCTTATAGGAAGGACAGTTTTAAACACCTTTAGCCATGTTGCAATGTCCACTCGGAATTGGTTCCAGATAATGGATAATGGTCCTATAACCACCTGTTTTTTGTCTGTGAAAAATATAAATGAAGCTTCTTGAAAGAATTATAAACCATGCTGGTGCTAAACAAGAGCAACAAGCTGTTATCTATCAATCTCAGCAGAGAGCAGCACAAACAGTGGTTGTGCAATTGAGTTCATGCTGTAGCAGAGATAGCCTTAGCCTAAGTATACAAGTTACAGCAAACTTTTGGTGTCAGGGGTCATTAGTTTTGAAAGAAAAATACCACAGGGACATTTAGGCCTCAAAATCAAATAAAACGCAATGGACCCTTTTCACATTTCCAGGTTTCTCCCATGCGGAAGTCGTGGGTAAACTTGAAGAGGAGTGAATGGGAGAGTACAACAAATACATTTTTTGCATTCCTATTTGCTCAAATAATAAAAAAATAACTCCTCAATTGTGTTTTCAAGCCTTCTAGAGAAAGGAAAAAATAGTGTGAGAGCAACATACCCTCTCGTCCATAGACGCTGCATTAGAATTTTTTTTTTTTTTTTGTAATTCAGTGCAAACATGATATAATATAAAGTATAGCTTTATACTTAAAAAAAAATCTACACATTAAACTTTCAAGAATTTTAGATGCTGATGACGCGCCATAACCATCTTGTAAAAAGGGTCCACAATTACCAACAACAGTATGTTTTCATTTGATTAATTCCAAATCAATTATAAAAATACCATTTAATGCAAACAATTTACTGAAGCACTCAAAATGGTGTTATTAACATGATTAATGCTACACGTGATCTTGGGAGTCTGCAGTTTATCACACTGAGCATAAAATGGTGTGAGCACCTAGTAGGAAAAATTTCTTTCTAACCCCTTAACCTGATTTTGCTTCTCTTGTTTTTAATCTGATCATCCAAAGTTGATAAACCATGGGTACATTTTCAGTATATCGATCAGTGTGTGTGTAGCTTTGCTATAGACAGATGATACACAATCTATGTGTGTCTCGCAAGTAAACTTTGTACTCAATACAGCATGCAAACATGAGCCTGTTAGATTAAAGCACTGATCAAACATTTTATTTACGCACCCACATAATTCAGTACCTATAGACAAATTACTAGTTTGTAAACATTCAGGATGAGCGCGCAACAAGGTTGCAGAAAAAAAACGGGAGCGCTAGCATTTACAGCGAGGAAATTACATCCGATGCGGTACAGAGTTTGTTGTTGTATTAGAGGTAAGTTACATTAATTACATATTATATATATTATTTACATAATGCTTTCAGTGTATTATAACAACTTGTCACCCAGTGATAAGTACAGTTATTTGGCAAAATTAATGTTAAAGTCAGCGACGTTTATCTGACAGGTCCATTTGCGATAGCGCCCTCCCAATGGATATTGGATTAGACTAAATGGCCAAGCTTCCGGCCTGATGCTTTCTCATTAAAACTCAAAGTGATTTTACACGAGAGAAGTTAAAGGCCTTCAAGTTTTTGGATGCCAACAATTTTGATTTGTGTGGTCATGTGCATGAAATATTGTTCCATGATTACCAGATTCAAAATGTAGTGCTAAAAACCGAGGTTCTGCCGGGCCAAAGAAAAGGAAGGAAGACGGAACTGAACAAGGCCTGGATAATCATCTACAAGCAAAACAACTGCATTCTGACAGCAAACTGCACCACATTTCATTCTAAGCATTCAGTGTCTGCAGTTTAAATGACCATATTTAACAGTTTTAGCTGAAATCATTGCTGCAATCAAAAACGAGTAACGTGTATGAATCAGCATATCGTGAACTTACCTGACATGAAATGAGAACTGCATAGTCAAGCATTTTTAACTAGGTCCTCACTCCATTCAGCTTAAATGATGGCTGTTAGCCAAAGACGAATTGTCCGATGGATGGTTTTGGCATGCTGTTCCGGGAGAGAACCCGGAGCTCGGAGATATTTGAGCCAAGGGCTCCTGCCCGGTCAATATGCATATCACGGGATTTGAGATTAGGTAGGTCTCGATAGTTCCCCCTTTAGAAAAGGGAGGAAAAGGAGGAGATGGGGTTGAAGAGGGGATTCTTCCAAAACGAAGATAGGGCAATAAGGAGAAAGTGATCCATTTATAGTAAGCTAGGATCACTCGGATTGGATTATTACAGATTATGGATGAGTGGCCAGCAGTGCTCAATCATATCACGTGCTCCTCTTGACATTAGTTTATGAAACTTCACTTCTCAAGTAGTAGTGCAGATATTTGACACACACATTTTGAAGATACCTGGGAAGATGACTATAACAACAAAATGCATTTCTTTGCCAGATAAACTCAAATCAACTACAGATGTTTATGATGAGAATAAACGCACTCTCAACTCCAACTAATAATAAATACAAATCCACAGAGAAACAAAATTGTAACTTAAAAAGATTTTGTAAATAATGTGTATTTTGGTCCAAAATGAAAAGTGCCAGAAATATTGATGAAATGTTCCATTGTGTTTTCTACAATTAAAAGAAAGACCAGAATAATTTAATTTAATATTTCTTTAGCTGTACGGCTGTGAGATGTATTCTATTATTAAATTGATTACTATTTTAATCCTTGTTTAGGAATGTAATTATTGACCTTTTACTTCTCACGGTTTGGATTGATCATTTCAGTGCACATAAATGTATTTAATACAAAAATAAAGAGGTTTGTGAGTATTTTATGTTATTTATATTGTGTTTCAAAGCCTGGGATTCTGATGCATATACAACTTACAGCATAATAGCTCTGTGTGATTGCTCTGCATGGCAGCCGAACAGAACAAACAAATGTTTCAATTCAATCAGTGCCCATGGTTATTCAAGTCCTTGTGCTGCCTTGAATTATGGCTGCAAATTTAATAGCAGAAGTGGCCAAGGGGGAAAAATACTGCAAAAACCTGTCAATTTTCAAAAAATTTTAATGTAATTGTGGCATACTTGAGATTGCTTGTATATAATTTTTACAATTAGAAAGTATCCAGGCGGTTGGACTTTGTAGATTTGGACATTGAGTTTGCTATCTTGTTTACTTTGTTTCAGTAAACTGCAGGCAAAAACACATTAAAAAAACATTTATACACATACACTTTTCAGTTTTGAGATTTTGGGGGGCTATTTGTTTAAGACTAATGTACATAAAACATACTAAATACACATTAAAAAATGTTTATTTTTTCAGTCCGTACATTTGTGTATGCAAATTACAAATAC